TAAAACGTGGAAGCTCTCTGTCAACACTGACAAAACCAAAATTTTAATTTTCAATAAATCAAACAGACGTTTGAATAATGATACATTTTTTCTTGGAGGTATCGAACTTGATACAGTTAAATCTTATAACTATCTGGGACTAGTCATTAGTGCCAATGGTAAATTTAAGGATGGCCTAAAAAACCTTAAACGTAAGGCTCAAAAAGCTCTGTTTTCAATGAAAGCAAAGCTTGGCTCAATACAAAACATAAGTATAAAAGTTTCAATTTCCCTTTTTGACAAACTCATCAGACCTATCCTCATTTATGGTTGTGATGTTTGGGGTGATGAGTTCTCCACTAAATCACCTATTGAAGACGTTCAATTAAGTTATTGTCGGTATCTACTGGGGGTGTCACAACACACACCAATTATGGCCATGTATAGCGAGTTAGGCAGATACCCCCTAGACGTATTTATAAAAAAACAAATAATTAAATATTACAGTCGGGCCATGAATTCTAATAATGCGTTACTCAAGGAAGCTTTTGTGGTTAACCAAAGCATTAAAAGTAAATGGTATCTAGAAGTGACATCATTATTAAACAATATCCAACTATATCATTCAGTTAACAACGGTGATAAACTAACCTCGGCACAAATGAAACAAATTGATTTAGGCATCAAGGATTTATTTCTAACAAGATGGAAAGGTGAGGTCTATAATGATAACCGCACCAAAGCAAATGAGAAAAACAAACTAAGAACATATCGGCTAATCAAATCAGATTTAAAACTTGAGCCATATTTAGTCAAGCTAAAAAACTTTGAACTGCGTAGTGTGCTTACCAAATTCCGTCTTAGTGACCATAGTCTCAAAATTGAAATGGGTCGTCATAAAAAAATCCCACTAAACAACAGGGTTTGTGACATGTGTAACAAAGGTCTAATTGAGGATGAAATGCATTTTCTGCTGGAATGCAACAAATATAATGAGTTGCGTGCCAAACTGTTCAATAAAGCTAAGGATATGATCCCAGCATTTGAAAATAAACCTGCAGAGAAAAAATTCATGGAATTGTTACAGAATGAAAACATTATTATACCAGTAGCACAGTTCATAAGTAAAAGCTTTGAAGTCAGGAAGCAGGGTCTTACTTGACATCTTAATGCCTGCTGTCAATTTTGTAATTTTATATTAGATTGTATTTTAGAGATTTTGTTTTATTTAGTAATTTAGTGATTGTATTTGTTATTTGTTTTTTAGTATATTGTGTTTTTGTTTTGTTTTTTATATATATATATTTCTCCTTGTACTTTGTGACCATTTTCTTTCCCTCCGGGGATTGTGTAAGAGTCAATAAGTAAATAAATAAATAAATAAAT